ATATAACCCTATATCTGACTCTTTTAGTTTTAGGACTTACAAACAACCGTTATGTGAACAAAACTATAATACTCTCTTTAGCAACTTTGTTGCAAGAGTATAAAAACGGAAAATCTAAACATTTTAATCAATATCTTATCTTGAATATTTATTAAATACACTTTTAGAACTAAGCCTAATTGTTGTCTAGATGCCAACTACTGATTTTTTATACAAAAAAAAAAAGACGAACTATTTTGAATGCCCAAATAAGATCAAGTTGATAGAAGACAGTTTTTAATAGAAAATGTAAAAGATAAGTTTTTGATTTTTATTGTATAAAAAACAGTAATTTAATCCTAAATCCTTTCGTTGATGGAAGAATCCTTCATTTAAACATCTTAATAGAAAAACAAATAATTATAGACTGAATATTATTATACAATGAATTCATGTTAACTTATTCCTTTATTTTAGTATATTTGTTAATTCTGCTGTTAATGGTGTTACCCCCACCGATACTGGCTCAGCAACAGAAGTTCAGAGTAACCCCATATGATCTACAAGTATTAGAAGGTGCGGAAGCTATGATGCGCTGCGAAGTATCTAATAAAGCAGGCGCTGTGCAATGGACAAAAGACGGGTTTGCACTAGGGTTCTCAGCTGTTATTCCTGGGTTTCCACGTTATTCGGTGCTGGGTGATCGAAATCAAGGTGTATATAATCTACGAATATCGAATGCGTCTATTACTGACGATGCGGAGTATCAGTGCCAAGTGGGACCAGCACGTCTTCACTCAGCCATACGAGCAAATGCAAAGTTAACAGTCATAGGTAAGTAAAATACTAAAAGCTTGTGTGGATTGACTACGAAAATTTAGCAGTATAATACTTTTTATGTAAAAAATTCATAAGAAATACATAATAACCATGACTGTAAAGTCATTAATTAATCCAAACCTTCTCAATTTTCCATTTTATGTTTAAAAAATGTTTTAATTTTTGGTTTGTGATTATTGTTATATTATATTTAGCCTAGTTTCTGTTTCTCAATCTCAACAAACAATAATAAAGAATTAAAGATCAGAGGCTGTACTAATAATGTTGGACTATACAATATAATTGTAATAACGGACATAATTAAAAATTTTATTATTGCATTTCTAATTTTTTATACCATATTTTTTTGATGTGGCAATAATTCATAGAAAAGCAGACGTTGGCAACTATATATTCATAATTTTTTCCCAATGGAAAATTCTTAACTCTTTTCATATTTGTTCACTTAGGATATCCAAAATGACACAATTGTACAACTACATACTTATATGTCAATATTTTAAAAATAGATGATTCATTTATAGAAGATTGGGTCGATACGAAGTGTGCTTCCTCTTACGAAAGAAGTGTTTGTATCGAATATATCAAAATTCATTTCACAGCTTTCTTATTTTCAAAGCGTTGGTTGATAAACGATTTTGTTAGTAAAAACATCATTTTTAAAATATATTCATTCAATACCTTGAAATATTTTTATCGGAAACCAAAAACTCAAGGAGTGAATCTCCTGTTTATAACTTATGTTCTAGTTGAATCTTTTTCTTAAAATTTCAAAAAATCAGGAAAAACGTATTTCCGCCTAAATTTGTAAGTTATATGGGACTCAAATATATATACGCCCTAGTATAGCTTTATTNAGAGAACAAACAATAGTAAATAATTAAATATTTTTCAATTTTTTCATTAAAATATTTAGAGGAAGAAAATTAAATTCTCACTTTTTAATTGAAATATTTCTAAATTTTTAATTCCAATTTTGTGAAATGAAAATATTACTTTTAATACCAAAATGTGAATATATTTGTTTAATTTTAAAATACTATAGAGTTTGGATTAACCTTTTCTTATTTCGGTTTTTAAGATTAAGTTTAATTTTTTTCCGTTTTTGTAATCAAAAATTTACTTTTAATTTTTTAATCCGATATTTGGGATTAGACCCCGGTAATTTAGTAATAGGAACGGTAGTTTCCATGTCCATTACTACTAAAAATTTAAAATTAAAAAAATTTACTTTATGATGTTTAAACATATGTTCAAACTTAACATTCCTTAGTTTTTTTTGTTGGTTTAAATAGAAGATAATTGAATGCCAAAGATAATAAACTTTGCCCCAATTCCATACGACGTTTAGTTTTTTCTATCCTGCCCGCCAATTAAGAAAAGTCTTAAAAATGAAAAACCAAGAAGTCGCATGACAAAGTTTTCGCTTTCTGCCCATGCGCTCATACGAGGTGTGTTCAAAAAGTATCGCGAATGTTGTGTTTTTTTTAAATTATTTATTCAAAGAAATCCCCATGAGATATTATACACTTGTTCCAACGGTTTTCCCAATCTTAGAAGCACTTCGAAAATCATTTTTTTTATCTACTTCAGCTCCTCCTTCGATGCCGCCTTTATCTCGTCAAGAAAAGCGTAACGTCGTCCTCTCATGGGCCTCTTCAGTTTAGGGAACAAGATAAAGTATGCCACAGTCAACATTCGGAATGCACCCACGCACTTAATTTCGTTTTTCACACAAAATTTGATACAGGTTTTGATCCATTTTTTTGAATAGGTATAAATCGAAGACGATCCAAAACACGTGCAAGCAAAGCAGCTGTCAACAATTAAATGAACATTCATGAGACATGAGTACCAACATAACGCCACAAAAAATTCGAAACTCGAATATACGTAACCCGCGAAAATTCAAAATTCGCGATACTTTTTGAACACACCTCGTATATCTGCTAAAAGGGCGCTAGTTCCATCTATAACTTTGGGGACATATTCTTAGATAATTTTTAAAGAGATTTATGCAAAAAAATAATAGATTTTTTGAAGCTCCTAAAGCAGGCAGGTTTGCAATTCTGGCAACTAAGAAATTCTGTCTTGGATTACACAACACCCCTGAATGTTTTTTTAACAAAAAACTACACTCTGTCAAAACTGCGGTTCGAGATTTAGATTAAAAAACAAGTCGATCTCCTCCTTTACGATGAAATATGTAAATCAAAAATCATTTCAAATTTTAAAATTCTATTCAATCTTTTTATACTAACATTATTGTTTTTAACTATTATTCTTATATCTGGATATGTTCTTTATTCAGCACCACCTGGCTATATTGAAATACAAGGCTATACTCAGAATTCGAAAGTAGAGGTAAGGGAAAATCAAGATTTATCATTGAACTGTGTTGTTGGAAATGCAAAGCCAGCCGCACAAATCATCTGGTTTCGTGGGAACGTGGAATATAAAGAAGGTAATTAATAAATACTAAAGTTATTTCTGTATGATATGAATATATTTTGACATGTCTTCCAAATGAACCGACATAGCTTTCTGTAGAATTCCTCCAATAAAAACCAAGGCTTATTTATTGGCGTTAAGCATATTTACCATGTACTTGGGTATTGAACCAATTTTTTGGGAGATTTTGTCGTCAGAAAAAACTCCTACAAAATCGAAATATTGTACTTCGAATTTCGATATTAAATATATATCTAAATCTTTGGAAAAAATGCTCTTATTGATTTTGCGGTACGTTGTTATTATTGAACATTATGTAAAGCGCATTAACGTTGCTCGATTTCTAATTGTAATAAGTTGGTGATATATATATAGTATATTTAATAATAATATAATTAGATTTGAGATTTCAATCGTTTGACCAGGCTGGAGCAGCTAGTGAATGATTCCTTTTCAATTTTACCAAACACTCCGCATAACCTTTTGAGGCGCCAATATTGGCTTTTGTTGAGCTTCACCACGCTTGTACCATGATCTTTCTCGCACATTATTGTCGTATTTGATCCATTTACCACTTGCGTGGAATTATTCCTATTCACTCATTTTTGAACAGCTCTAACTTTTTTAAACTTCCCGAATTTAATTTTTTTTGGTTAATTGTCGCTTAAAATCTCATCTTTCCAATACAATATGATATGACACAGTGTGATTGGCAGCACTGGATACATACAACTAGAAAGACATCTATTGACAAAAGACTTTTTCGACTACCTAATATAAACCATTTAAGCTAAACCTCCAAACACATCTTTTCGACACTGTTTGGAATAATGTGAAAATTGGTGGGGTCGCTGATATATAGATAAATACATAACTAAATGCGGCAGGAAAATTTAATTTTACATCCATAATGGTAAAAGAGGGCTTTATGGGACCCGTTGAAAAAATTGGTCGATGGACGTGGTACCGCCCACATTTAGCGGAAATCAGATATCTTGGGACCTACCCGACCGATACTGCACAAATAGTGTTTTTAATGTCCGCTTAATTGCGAAGTCAGCTGATGCGGACTCTATACCGAATGAGCGAGATATTTAATTGAAATTCGCAGAGAATCCTTTTGTGATAATAATATGTTTTTATGTTGAAAATGGGTTAAATTGGACTCATCCCATATATAGGGTTACCATATCGGTCTCAGTCAAAGTCAGTCCTGTTACATATGTGAAAATTCTTACAATTCATTTATAGGAAGTTATATTGAAAAAGTACAATATTCTTAACGGCCTCAACTGAGAGGCGGTTACGCTCGTTACTCCACTGTGTATTGATTACGGAAAAAATTCACTTGCAATTTGCGTTGTGACCAGGGATAGACAACAAATACTGAACTATTATCAAGACTTCGGAAAACTAATCAGCCTTCTTATTAGCTTTAAAGTATAGTAACTGGTCATTAACAGATTGCGCGCAAAGCTCGTATTTCTCGGTCCTCTTTTCATGGATAATATGATACGAGACTCTTTGATTCGAGAGAGAACTGTCAAAAGTCGCATTTTTTATAACATTTGAAAATGATGCCACTGTTGAAAAATATTCGATTTCGTATTTAATAAATTATACAAAACACTAAATTAAACACTTTGAAAATGCATACATATATAAATGCTAAAATGCAAAATCCTTAATTAATTTACATAAACATTTATTTTGCCAAAATATGTTCTCATAGTTCACTGAAGTTTCATTTCACACTAATTTCGTCAGGTGTTTATAACGATTCACTTCTGGCATCCCGCCTTTTCTGAAATCAACTGTCAGAAATTCCCTGATCTCCATTGCTGTCAAATAATCAGGGAACGCGTTTGAGAGAAAAAGAAAGCCAATGCTAAAGTCTCGTATCATATTATCTATGCTCTTTTTTCAATTACACGAACACATTAAAATTTGCCAACTGATCGATCAATTTATCGTCGTCATATGAATGTGTTCATATGAATATTTTTCGAGTCTAAAAACTGAATCGTCTCAACAATTTGTTCATATTTCACTTTTGTCATGTGGGTGTCGTATGATGCAGTCGCATTTCCATGCGACGGTAGACATGTACATATATATCAAAATTATTAATTGATTTAAAATGTTGTCAATAAATGTGTGAGGAAATTTTTAGCCCTACAAGAATACTTATGGGACACATATATCCCACAAACTTATACTTACCAATAATTACAGAAATACAATAAAATATTAGTACTCACCACAAGAACACTACCACAACTATTTATTAAGGTCTCAGCCGATTTAGAAACTGTAAAGATAAAATTGTCACAAAATTCACTGCGAATTATAAAATACGCGTCCAACCATTCGCTCTATTTTGGCAAATGAACATTTGTTTACTATTTAAAATACCACGAATGTAAAAAAATATCGTTAATAATAGTATAAGCTAAGAAATGGGACTAATTTAACCTTTTTTAACCACTTATTTTCTACGCTAGATATCTTTGAAAATACACTGGGATACACGGGTCCCGTTCGGATCGAATGAGTTAAGTGACCGAAGCCAGGTTCTTCTCCACCTGCTCCTTCAAACGGAGTGGACGTCTTCCTCTTCCTCTTCTTCCTCCGGCGGGTACAGCTTCGAATACTTTCAGAGCTGGATTGTTTCCGTCCATTCGGACCACATGACCTCGCCAGCGTAGCCGCTCTACCATAAATTTTTCGCAGAACTTTTCTCTAGAAAACTCTCAACGTCGACTCATCACTTGAGGTCATCGTCCACGCCTCTGCACCATTTAGCAGGACGGGAACTATGCGCGACTTATAGAGTTTGGTTTTTGTTCGTCGAGAGAGGCCTTTACTTTTCAATTGCCTACTCAGTCCGAAGTAGCACCTGTTGGCAAGAGTTATCCTGAGATTGCATTTACAGGCGGACATTGTTGGTGCTGATTATGCTGCTTCCAAGATAGACGAAACTATCTACAACTTTAAAGATATGACTGCCAACAGTGACGTGAGAGCCAAGTTGCGAGTGCGACGACTGTTTGTTTGATGACAGGAGATATTTCGTCTTGCCCTCGTTCACTGCCAGACCCATTTGCTTTGCTTTCTTATCCAGTCTGGAAAGAAAGATTGTACCTGCTCGATTAAGTTCTGCAGCTCGAATTATTTTCTCCAGCAGCAGATTGAAGAAGTCCCACGATAGGGAATCGAATTGTCTGAAACCTCGTTTGGTTTCGAACGCCTCGAAGAGGTCCTTCCCGAACCTGACGGAGCTTTGGGTGTTGCTCAGTTTACGGATTTTGATTTGCCAGGTCTAAAGCCACACTGATAAGGTCCATTCAGTTTGTTGACGCTGGGTTTTATTCTTTCACACAATACGCTCGATAGCACCTTATACGCGATGTTGAGGAGGCTAATCCTACGATAGTTGGCGCAGATTGTGGGGTCAACCTTTTTGTGGATTGGCCAGAGCACACTTCAATTCCAATCGTTGAGCAAGCTTTCATACCATATTTTACAAAGAAACTGATGCATGTTTCTTATAAATTTCTCGCCGCCGTGTTTGAATAGATCGGCTGTCAATCCATCGTCCCCGCAGCTTTGTTCTTCTTCAGGCGGGTAGTTGCTATTCGAACTTCTCAATGATCGAGCAATTGAACTTCTGTACCATCATCATCGATTGGTGAATCGGGTTCGCCTTCTCCTGGCGTTGTACGTTCACTGCCATTCAGCACACTGGATAAGTGTTCCCTCCATAATTTAAATATTCTCTCGCCATCGGTGACTAGATCACCTTGGGGGGTTCTACAAGAGTAAGAGCAACGTTGCGAGGTAGGCAGTCTGTTTTCTCTCCACTGTGACACGGCACTCCTCATCGCATCAGCTGTTCTTTTGCATTTTCCGAAAACCAATGGTTTCCCATAGTTACCGAGCTGTGCTCTCAGAGAGTGCACACCTGCCGAGTAGAAAATCGTTCAGCTGTCTGTTGTGATTGCAGTTTCTCCACATCGAACATACCTTGTGCTTGTTGACGTGCGTTTTTTGCCGCATAGAGGCGGGTGCGAATCTTGACTGCAACCTCGGAGCGCACGCTCGCCTAGAACACTGGAGATGTGTCTTCCGTCTATCACAACATGATCGATCTGGTTGATGGATTTTCGATCCGGAGACAGCCAGGTAACTTGATATATTTTATTGTGCTGGAATCTAGTACCACAAATAACCATATTTCGGGCCCCGGCGAAGTCGATCTGCCTCAACCCATTTGGGGATGTTTCCTTGTGGAGACTGAATTTACCGACCGTAGTGCCTAAGATACCTTCTTTGTCTCCCCTGGCGTTAAAGACGATTTTTACATCGTGGTGGGAGCACAACTCATAGGTGGGCTCCAAGCGCTCATAGAAGACATCTTTGGTCACATCGTCCTTTTTTTCCGAGCGCAAATGAGCGATATGTTGAAGAATTTCGCTTTAATGCGGATTGTGGCTAGAATTCATTCACCTGAGTGAATGATTGTACTCGGCGATGGAGTCTCTCTACCACCACGAATCTTACGCCAAACTTGCGCTCCTTTATATGGCCACTATAGTAAATGCCAAAAGGACCTACTCGTCTCAGTCCTTGTCCCGTCCGTCGAATTTCTTGGACGTCGGTGATGTCAGACTTTATTTTCACGAAGACATCAACCAGCTGGCAGCGGCACCTTCGCAATTAATGGACGGGACACTCCAGGTACAATCGCTCAATTCGTTGGCCATGGTCATCATCAAAGGGGGGTCTCTTATTCGAGGCTGATTTTTAATTTTCATTGGGGGTTTGTTTTACGTGGCGGATCCCAAACCTAGCGCGCAACCCTATGCTGGTTTTATTTCGCCTTCAAACGGATGTTCTGAGGCTACCCAGAGGATACTTGGTCAAAAACTGGAAGTCGTGTGCTGCTTGAGCCACATGTAAAAAATATTCGGCTGACTTTACTCCATATGATTGGTGAAGACCTTAAAGAAA